GGCTCTCACTTACTCTTTACCCTGGGCCTTCTACAGACGAGGAACCAATGGGAGAGGAAGGTTAAGTGAGTTGCCTTTAAAAATGCACAGTAAGAAAGGAAGAAGGTGGTCAAAACCAAGCTGGTCTGACTTGAGGCTTCCTTTCCCTCTTCCCAGCCCACCACAGAGGCCCCGAGCAGCGAGCCGCTGCCTCCTGCCGCCTGGCCGCCAGCAGGCTCCCAGGATGTGCATGCACACCTGCAGGAGGGAACTGTGCATCATGCACGAGGCCCTGCTTGCACCGGCATCCCCTGCCCACCCGGGACTCAACTGTCCTGCATCTAAGGGCTTCCTGGTTCGCTGCTCCTTGCTCTGTTGAAACACACATCTATATATATAAAAGGCTAATATGCAAAGTGTCTCCTCAGGAGTTCGACCAAGAGACCAGGAGTTCGATCGCTCGCTATGACATGTGCTGACCACCAGGGGGCAGCGCGGAACAAAGGAAGGCCCAGATCGGCCCTGATTGCTGGCCAGGCCTAGGGACCTTTTCATGAACAAATTTCGTGCACCAGACCTCTAGTTGTTACATAACCATCCCGGGAAAGCAGCTCCCTTCCTGCAGTCCCAGCTTTGTCTGCAAGTTCCTGCCAGGGGCCAAAATAAAAACCTGGCACCTTGAGAAACCCTAATAATTGGCCCAAGTTGGGCTGACTCTGGGAACTGATGTCTTTCACGTGTACCCCGGCTCTACCTAGAAGGATAAAAAGGATCAATGTCCCATGTTCCATTACACACGTACACATTGCTTACGAAGTTAGATCCATTTTGCTTTCTACTGGAAACCCGGGGGATTATTCCTTTCGCTGAGACAAATCCCACAATCCCATAAATTGATTATTTTCCTAAAATCAGCTCTTCTCCTGGACGCACACCTGCTCGGGAAGCGCCTACCTCCCTGCACACTCCCCTCCGCCCCATCACCATTCCTCGGGCCTTTCCTTTGGGACAGAAACTGGTGTGGATGAGGAACAGTTCCCAAAAGCCTTCAGTTTGGACGCCTCGTGGAGACGGCCGCCCTCTGCTGTCATGTGGACATTCTTAGATGACTGCAGGACAGCGATTTTTGTCTCTAAATATTCTATCCAACTGACCCTCGTACAGGAAGAAGAAAAATCAATGCTATAGTTCATCTCACACCGAAGGATTAAACTTTTGATTTTTAAAAGAGAAAAAAATCAATAATTTTGTTTGCCTGATCTGTGACACTATCCTTCATCTTGTAACTGACCCCACGGTTTGGAGAATCAGGAGCAGTCACTGAAGAGGGTCCCTGTCATCTACTATAGACTAGACCATTTCACTCCATGGCTACATCACCTGCTCTACTGCCGCCCACGGGCGTGGCAAAGGGTAAATGAGCTGATACAGGAAGGCCGCGCCGGCAAGAAATGCCTGGACCCAGCAGGGCACAGTGCCTGTCAAGTGAGGCTCAGAGCAAAGAGCCTGAGCCAGACACACGCACATGCACACACACACACGCACACGCACACATGCACACGCACACACGCACACAGGCACACAGGCACGCATGCACACACCCGTGGCTGAAATCTCCCCAGCTTGGGTTTCACACTCACTCAGCCAGCACATCACAGACCAGCATCTGAGCCGCCCCCAGCACGCGGCTAGGAATTGGGTGGGAGCATGTTAGAGAGACGACAGGGTCAGGGGGCAGCTGTGCGGAGCGGATGCTGGTGGTTAAGGGTGCTCTGGGGACTTGTTCTCTCTGCGAGAGCCCACAGGCTGAGCAGAGGAAAAGGCTTCCTGGGAAAGGCCCGGGTGCCCCAGCAGCCAGAGCTGGAGGGAGGGCACACAGGGACCACCCTGGGGAGCAGCCCTCTGCTCTCAGCCCTCCGTTCCCCACGCTGCAGGTGAGCAAACTGCATCCTCTGCTCAGCAGACAGCGTCCAGGGAGGGGGAGGGACAGGGGCGACGCCTGGAGGGTTTTCTTGGCAGAGGCCTTGGACTGGAGACCTCTGTAAGAGAGGAGTGGGCAGAGAAGGAGCTAGTCCAGATGTCTCCACCATGCCCCCAAGTGGAGGACAAGGGGACAGCAGGCGGCTCCCTAATGAGCCAGCGCCAGTGCTCCCAGCGCAGTGCCCTGGACAGTGCGCCACCCAGCACTCTCCCAGGAGGCACAGCCGCCATGGTGGGAGGGGGTCCCTTTAGGAGCGGTGGCACACAGACAGGAGGGGGTGGTGCAGGGACTGCAGGGCTCTTGGGATTCTGACAGCACGGTTGCTGCAATGCAGAGAGCTTTGAAAAGAAGCGCAGCGCAGGCCGCGCTCCAGCCCGAGGGAACCGCCTGGACTGTAGCTAAGTGTCTTAACAAGAACGCAGTCCTGGCTCCTTGGGGGCCCCATGCTGCCAAACGCCTGTCTAAACTGATGAGCTCAACTGTTCACCTTGGTCAATAATGAACATAAAACAACTGAGAACTAGGGCGGAACTCACAACAGTTATAAAACAAAGAGATGGGGTGACAGGCCCCACCTCAGGCCCAGGACGAATCCTTGTGAAGACTGACTCTGTGGTGGGGACAGCCGTTCCCTCGCTGTCCACCGGGTGCGGCCTCCCCAACCTGCAGAGTTCTCCGTATCCTGAGCGCAAACCCCTCTCGCTGCCACTTCTCCCGCTGGCTCGATTCTTAGGCTTCCAGTTACCGAGTAAGTCACCCTGGACTGTCCTGTTTCCCGGGAAAGCCCTTTCCTCCAGCCGATCCCATAATGGCATCGTTCTCACCTCATCACTTTTTTCTGGGCTCCAATTCATCCATTTCCATTTCCGAGTGGATCCACCAGACTCGGTCAAACTGGCACAGACACAGGGGGGCGTTTCTTTTTAACCCCTGCCTCTGGGCCTCCCTCAGTAAACCCAGGCTTTCAATCATCGTCTGGTATTGGTGTCATATTTGGCTGGTAAATAAAACACCACAAATTATTTTTCACATGAAATCCTATCAAAACTGCTGGCTACTGTGTTGGCTCCCCATAATAATCTGCTGCTTAATAAATAAATATCTATATATATAAAGAGCCAGGGTCCCTAACATCCAAAATGACCAAACAGACGACCGAACACCGGAAGTCAGTCCTGGTGGCCACGGCAACCCAGCACTGACTGCCGCTGCTGCAGGTGTGGCAACCCAGCAGTGACTGCCAAGGGGGCTGCGGATAAGGCCCAGAGAGGGAAGCAAGGTCTGATCCACAGCCTCTAATGGCAGCTGTTGATCAGCTTTTGCCTCTCTTTCTCTCCAAGCCTTGCCAGCAGCTCTGCCTCTCTGATCAGGCCCGAAGACACTGACTGGCATAGAAACTGACCAATCAGAACCAAATCTGGGTGAACTGCAAGGAGCCAATGGTTGTCTAGGAGGTGGAGCTTTTGACGCTGACTGGCATAGAAACTGACCAATCTGAACCTAATCTGGGTGAACTTCGAAGGCAGAACCTAGGGTGGTGGCTGAGGAGGGGTTTTAAGGGCAACAGCTGTTTGGTATAAGATGTAAGAAAGTGATTCAATTTTTTAATGACTGGTTTGGCAGTATAGTGCATATGGCTGGCTATCAGTCCAGATATAGAGATTATGTATTTTTGTTTGCCAAGAGCATCTCCTCCTGCTGACAAAGGCTCCCCCCGCCCCCTCCCGCCCCCATTTAAGCAATCCTATCCTATGTAATCTATCTATACTAATAAAAGGGTAATATGCTAATTAGACCGGGTCGACTGGCCATCTTCTGGACATCTGACTTCCTTCCGGACAAAGCTACGGTGGTGGGGGCTGAGGCAGAGGCAGTTGGGGGCAATCAGGTTGGCAGGTGAGGACAGTTGGGGGTGAGATCAGGCCAGCAGGGGAGCGCAGTTGGGGGCAAACAGGCCTGCAGGGGAAGGCCACTGGGGGTGACCAGGCTGGCAGGGGAGGGCAGTTGGGGGCGAGATCAGGCTGGCAGGGGAGGGCAGCTAGGGGCGATCAGGCAGAGGGCTTAGGGGCAATCAGGCAGGCAGAGGCAGTTAGGGGTAATCAGGCAGGCAGGTGAGCAGTTAGGAGCCAGCAGTCCCAGGTTGCGAGAGGGATGTCCCCGATTGGAGAGGGTGCAGGCTGGGCTGAGGGACCCCCCCCGCCCCCGTGCACGAATTTCATGTACCCGGCCACTAGTAAATTTATAAATGAGCAGTATATAACAGCACATCTACTTTAAACAAGTCAGTCCCCCTGTTTCTACACATAGTTCTATCTGAAATAACACAAAATCTTGCTTCTACCGGCTTTGGTGTTTCCATTCCCTCATAGCTGCGTGTCTGCTGTGAGTTTGACCAATGAAGCACAAGTACTTCTACTTTTCATCCCGTTGTTGGTAAGGATGGTAAACAGAGCCGGACCCACGCAGCGCCCTGTGTGCCAGCCGAGACCTCCTCACCTTTCTTGCGCACAATTTACCTTGAGAACCAGAGCCCTGTGTCTGATTCACAGGCCCCACCTGTGGCGACGCTGGCTGGTCCTCGCAGCCCAGGGTTTACCGAGTCTCACCTCACCTCCTCACCCCAATTCTCACTGCGCCCTGTACACCGACCTCGTTCTCCGTTAACCTCTGACTCCGACAATCCACAAGATACCCTTCCACGCCAGAGCACTGTGCCCAGCCTTTAAGGTGCGCCTCACCTCCAAGGCCACCCGACGTCTTCCCAACGTATCTGGCTGCCACATGCTGACTTCTCCCCATGAGCCCAGAGGCTGCCAGGCTCGCCCTTCAAGGTGCCCCCGCACTTCCTGGGGCGTCTGTCTTTGAGCACAGAGGCCTGGGATCTCCCACTACTCAGTTTCCCCAGTTCTCGCTCATGGCGGAAGCATCTTAAAAAACTTACTCCGTTTCACCCCATCCCTCTCATCTCTTCCTCCATCCTCCCCCTCTCCGTGCCCTTCCCTCCCTTTCCATGCCCTTCCCTCCCTCCCAGCACCCTTACCTCTCTTCCTGCATCTGGGGACTCAGGAACCTGCTGGCATCATCCTCATGGCTGCTCTGCTGGCTGCTCTGCTGGCTGCTAAGGAGACACAGGATGCGAACCGTTAGGGACCAGCTTCTCTCTCACCCTGGGGGAGGCCATTAGCCTGCAGCTGGACAGAGAAAAGGGGTCACCACATTTTAGAAATACCAGTTCCCAGTGTACATTTGCACAGAGCGCACTGACATCAGTGGGCATGAGAAATGACGAATCTGGTGGAAACACACCTACAGCTGGCGAGGAAGGGCCTGGCCTTGCTCTCCCCTGGCTGTGCCCTGGGGACCGTGCCTCCAGCATCCTCTGTACTGGGCCTCAGTGTCTCGGACAGGGCAACACGGTTCCTCTTCCACCCACAGACTCTCAGGACCTGGTGCAGACGGTGGGGAGGTGGTAGGAAGGAGAGGTAACAGGAGGGAGAGGGGGGTGTCCAGGAGGGCAAAGCGGACCTGATTCTCTCCTCCAAAGAAGGCTGGGGAGGCTGAGGGTACAAGAAGGGTGAGAGGGTGGAGTCCTTCCATCTAGCCCAGAGGCAAGACGATTATATGACTACTAGTGGCCCGGTGCACGAAATTCATGCGGGAGAGGGGGACGGTGTCCCTCAGCCCGGCCTGCACCCTCTCCAATATGGGACCCCTCAGGGGATGTCCCTGTGGGATGGGGCCTAAACCGGCAGTCAGACATCCCTCTCACAATCTGGGACCACTGGCTCCTAACCGCTTGCCTGCCTGCCTGCTTGATTGCCCCTAACCACTTCTGCCTGCCAGTCTGATTGCCCCCTAACCACTCCCTGGTCAGCCTGATTGACGCCTAACCGCTCCCCTGCTGGCCTGATTGCCCCCAACTGCCCTCCCCTGCCGTGACCTGCCTCCTCTGCCAGGACCCGCCTCCTCCGCGTGAGGCGGCAGAGACGCTGGGACTGGCCTCCTCCATACGGCACGCGGAGCCGCGGGATTCCCCAGGCCTCACCCGTGTGGGGAAGCCGCCGAGCCCCGCCTCCACTGTGCGTGCGGCCATCTTGTGATGACATCACACGCGCAGGCCACCTAGGCTTTTATTAGTATAGGTGGTCAGAGTTGTTCAAGATGCTTCCACTGAAGTTGTGTGGAATTCACTGTCCTCCACTTACTCAAGATAAAGGACTAACGGACACCTGTCCAGACACCTCATGACACCAGGTAAACATGCAGCTGATAAGTAATCTTTACTGCTTGCTACTTGTTAACTCCCCAGGCATCTGGTCAGGAGGCCTCAAACCACAGCCCAGGCCAAGCGGGCACCCTGTTTTGTGCAGTACTGAGTTAAGATGGTGTCTGCCTTTTCTGTGTGTTTTTATTTTTTAAACTTTCTTTTTAGTGTTTGCCTTTTTTTTTAAATTTAAAAAATACATATTTTTATTTACTTCAGAGATGAATGACGAGGGAGAGAGACAGAAACATCAATGGTGAGAGAGAGTCACTGATCGGCTGCCTCCTGCACGCTCCACGCTGGGGATGGGGCCTGCAGCCTGGGCATGTGCCCTGACTGGGAATCAAGCCATGACCTCCTGATTCACAGGTCGACGCTCAACCACTGAGCCATGATGGCCGGACAGGATTTGTCTTTTTTAATGGTTGGGGGAAAAACAGAAAAAATACCATTTCGTGAAAATTATATGAAACTCAACTGCAGAGTCATCAACCCATTCACTCATTCACATACTCGCTATGGCTGCTTCTTGGCTGTGACGGCAGAGTAAGCAGAGCTGCCCGCGTGGGAAACCGATGGACCCGAAGAACCGGAAACATGCAGCAGCTATCCTCCTCCAGGGAAAGCCAGGAATCCTAAAAATGAACCCCTATTCCCAAAATCACTATACCCCAGGCTCCAGCAAAACCACAGCTGCCGCCTGGTCCTGATGGAGCGTCTGCTACAGTAGAGTACACTGGGCTACTGGGCTCACTGCATGCACTGGGCTCACTGTGCACTGGGCTCACTGCTTGCACTGGGCTCACTGCGCTTGCTGGGCGCACTGGGTGCACTGGGCACAGTGGGCTCACTGGGCACACTGGGCACACTGGGCTCACTGGACACACTGGGCTCACTGCTTGCACTGGGCTCACTGGGCTCACTGCGCTCGCTGGGCACACTGGGAGCACTGGGCACACTGGGAGCACTGGGTTCACTGGGCTCACTGGGAGCACTGGGCTCACTGGGAGCACTGGGCACAATGGGAGCACTGGGTTCACTGGGCGCACTGGGCTCACTGGGCTCACTGGGCTCGCTGGGCACACTGGGAGCACTGGGCACACTGGGAGCACTGGGTTCACTGGGCTCACTGGGAGCACTGGGCACAATGGGAGCACTGGGTTCACTGGGCTCACTGGGCTCGCTGGGCACACTGGGAGCACTGGGCACACTGGGAGCACTGGGTTCACTGGGCTCACTGGGAGCACTGGGCACAATGGAGCACTGGGTTCACTGGGCGCACTGGGCTCACTGGGCTCACTGGGCTCGCTGGGCACACTGGGAGCACTGGGTTCACTGGGCTGGCTCACTGGGAGCATTGGGCTCAATGGGAGCACTGGGCCACTGGGCTCAAGGAGCTTTGGGCTCACTGAGCGTGCTGGGCCTCACTGGCTCTGAGCCCATTCCTGAGACGATCCTGGGGACGGAACCTGAGCGGGGCTGTGGGGGAGGCCTGCCCAGGGCCCGTGCTCGCTCAGTCACAGAGCACACGGCTTTTTGTGGGCACAGCTATAACCATGCACTTATGTTCTGTCCTCCCAGCAAGAGGTAAATGAACTTAGAAGCAATTTACATCAAATTTCCAAACACGGACACCAGAACTGCGCCATCCATGAAGCCCGCAGTGGCTGGGCAGGAGCTGCGCACACGCCTTCTCCCACTTCCTCTCCACGAAGCACCTCCTGCCGCTTGTTCCTGGTGAAGTGGCTGCTCACCGTTCCCCCTTTGCCGGGCCTCACAGACTGGCACCTCCTGTGACGCAGTTATGCCCGGTGCTGCGGCCCGAGGGTCTCCTGGCCGGGACTGGCCTGCTGCACGCATCAAGCACCCGCTCCTGCAGCGTGGGGCGTGCTACTCTGCAGCCCAAAGGACACGGACTCACCTCAAAGCAGACACCGCCCCAGAGTGAGCCGCAGGGAGGAGCAGCGGTCAGACCGCCCTGCAGGTGGGAGAGGCAGGGGCAGGGCTGCCCCCACCCACGTGGCCGGATCAGCACACGGCCTCCTCCCGGCGGTCAAACCTGACTTCACCCGATGACAACGGGCTCCTTCCCTCTCTCTCTGGCCCTCGAACCTGAAGCTCAGCCAATACGGGGATCCCAGAACTCAGTGGCCATGTTCCAGGGTTTCAGAAACAGAATTCTGAACTGACATGAGCACAGGGTCCCACTAGATGGCACTGTCGCCGTCCAAACCAGAACCTCAAGGAGGCCACCCACCCAGCAATTCCAGAACCAAAAAAACCAAGACGCAGCCTCTGCACCGGCTCCTGGCCTTCCCGCCGCTTAGAAAACAGCTCAGGTGGTAGAGACAAGGCAACACTGCATCCCCTTCAGCGGACACGGGTCAAAGTAACACAAACCATCACCCGCGTGCCTTCCACGGTCGTTTCCCTGACGCCCACTGCGTGCGCGCGGCAAGGGCAGCGTCCACACAGAGGCGAGCCTGGGCCGGGAGCACGCGGCCTCCCGGTTACACGACCCGGAGTGAATTATTTGGCGTCGTTTCCTCACCTGCACAAGGGAGTCAGCTCATGCCCATTCCTACCTGGAAGCTGCCGTGAGGATAAAGCCTGACTGCGTGCGGAAGATGAACAGCGGGCACGCACCACCCACACAGGAACGCGGGCCCTGCAGGCACTGCCCTGCGGGTCCTGGGGAGGAAGGCTCCGATCTGAGGAGGGCCCTGCGCTCGAGGCGTTAGGATCGGAGCGTCAGAGCAGTGTCGGGGAGACGATGGCTCTTAGAGGTCAATGCTGGCGGCTACAGAGCCACAGGACGAGAAAGAGCGCGCCCCTCTGGGCGGGTGACTGTCTTGGCAAGGAGTGTGTGCACGGACCCTGGACAGGACAAGCAGAGCGAGGAGAGGAGGCAGGCCGTTCCCAGCAGCTGCCGTGTCCCGGCCCTGGGCTGAGGTGGGCGTGAGGAGCTCCCCGTCGCAGGCACAGTGTGCACAGCACCGCGATGCAGCCGCACGGAGAGGCAGCGCCGGAGCCGGCGGAGAAACTTCCCCGGGGCTGTCAGGGAGCACGCGGGGGCGGGGGGGGGGGGTGAACACGCAGCGGGGGCTGCAGATGGATCCCGGATGGCGATCGTGCCGAGCACGGGGTCCTCCTCCTCCCCCTGGCCAGGAGGGGCCGGGCCTCGCTCCTCCCAGGTTGGAACCCAGCTGCCGACAGGGAGTGGCTGCCACCCACGCTCCACGCAGTCCCACGCGATCTCCTCGCTCAGCAGAACTTCAGAGGCTCAGACCCTGCCTCGCCCTCTCACATAAGCGCCTACACGTGGGCAGTCCTGTCAGAACGCGGAACCGACGTCGGTTTCACTAGAGCCTGAGTTACAGCGACAGTTACAGTGACACCCGGACACAGGCAGCTCCTCGCGCCGTAAGCGAACCTGCACGTCCGCCGGGTCATGACAAGGCACCCACCGGCCTGCAGGGGAAGACGCGGTGCCGGCGCCAGGGCCACGTCCCAGCCGGCCTCGGCGAGACGGTCCGTCTGGCTCGACCGCTTATGAGGCCGAGGAGCGCGGAGGCACTGGGTGGGAGTGTCCGCTGGAAACCCCGAAACACACTCTGAACCAGGACCGGGAAGGACTCGGCCCGGGAGCCAGGCGGCCGGACGCTGGCCTAGCCCCACTGGGAAGGGGCTTCGTGAGCACACGGCGTTCCCCGGACGGCCAGAGGGGACGGCGGCGACCCAAGCCCGTCCCACTTCAGGTTTCAGATCCAAAGTCCTGGCGCCATAAATTCGGGAACACGGCGCTGTGTTCCACGGGCGGGGAAGCGCCTCCTTAAATTCCGGAACTTTCCTGA